ACCTGCAGCAGCTGCTGTGGTCTCACCAGACAGCAGAGTGACCTGTCTGTGGGACACACCATCATGTTGGAGGATCGAAGGATAAACAGCTTGTTGAAGTGACTGGTGCAACTTCAATCCCATTATAAAGCCCATAGCCAGTTATTAAGCAAAAGTGTTTCTGGTTCTAAGGTCAACATCTGGTTTTATGGGCATCTGGATGGAACAGAAAAATCACAGAGCACATCACATGACTGTAATATGTTATACTCTCAGCCAGAGGTTGTTCAACATTTAGAGCTGAAAACAAGTGTTGTTTGAAAAAAAAAAGTTTTATAGATTGCATGTTGAAAAGGTTTTATAGTTTGTAAAAAATGTTATGCTTTGTATTGTGATGAGCATGTTTGACTGTGTTGTACACTGGTCACTAAATTGTGTTCAGTGTGTTTATGTTGAGTGTTATTTTATAAGAGACTATAAATATGCTTTACATTTTTAATAGCCTTTTGTTGTTTTGTGTTAAAGAATTTCAAGAATCGTTATTTAAAAAAAACAAAAACATTTTATTTACATGAAACATTGCATTGAAGTAATTACAAACAATCACAGTTTTTAAACAAGCTGCCATGGTTCGGGCTTCCCAAGCTGGAGCGCCCATTTACTAAATATCAATAGTTCTGCAAGCCATTTGAATTAGTTCTCAAGATCCAACTTCATCTTTAATAAATTAATATCTTAAATGTGAGATTTAATATTTTTGAGCCCCTAATTGAGTCTTCAGTTTAACCTCGTCATCATTCGGCTCATCAGTTCTTTTGACTGGACATAAAGAAGGTCATTTACTTAGAAAAAAGAATCAAATCTAACATTTACAACCAACATCCTTCATTCTCTATTCAATAAAAATCTATATAGGACTCTTACTATTCTTCTAAATCTCTAAAGTACAAAAGTCAAGTGGAGTTTCCCTTCATTACAGTGAGCAGTCTTTAAAACAATATACACACAGATGCTTACAAAAACACAACACGGACATGTTTAAGAAAAGCATGTTTTTAAAGTCCAGCTTTGTCAAAAATGCAGCGAGCACAATGCGTCTTACCGTGAGGACGGGAGAGCGAACATACATGAGCAGAAACACCTGCTCGCTTCTCAGCTGCTACACATGGGCTTTCATCAGAGAGCGGGAGATGAAGACGGCAATTTTCTTTGCCAATATCAATAATGGGAGCAGGCACTCATCCTTCTAAAGAGCCAATAAGTTTAAAGTTCACTGCTTAGTTATAAAACAAAAATCAGCCTTCATGCTATATCTGATTTAAATGGGCTTGAGTGTTAATACATTTCAAAGTCATTTTTGTGCCCTTAATTTCACATTACCAGTCCAAGTAACTGCCATCAAACGACTGAATGCGTCTTCAGAATGTCCTCATCTTTAAACCTTTGATTTGACAGTGACTGACAAACAAACAGTATCCAGACAACAGGTTCATATCGACAGAACACAGATATGAACATTTAGGTCACACTTCCAGACCATCTCGCATCACAGTGACAACAACAATATAGTTAATACTTCAAATGACCTGATATTGAACCCTTTGAATAGCCTTCCTGATCTCACACAATAAAGTGACCCCTGACCTTTACAGCAGAATTGGTTTTACCCAAAGTAAATCGTTGTCCTCTAATGCAAAATAGAAGGCGTTATGACCGGCTATCATCCGTCAGTAGTCTGTGACATTATCATTTTAAACATGAGCATGAGAAAATAACGGAGACAAAAGATATGACAGTGGTTCCAGAACAGAAACCATAAAAAGGCATCTCTCAGCAGTTATTATATAAAACAAACTTCATCTCTCGACAAATACAGGAACATAAGTAAAGCCTCATCGGTGCCTGACTCCAGTTTCATAAGGAAATGCATACTAGTCACACTGACCTTTGGTGAAGAACTGTAAGGTCTTAACATTTCTTTGACATCAAAGCAATTATACCAAATGAAGTTTGACTAACCAGCCAAAGTACCCAAGCCTGTATTATAAACATTATAAAATTGATACAAAAACAAGACTATTTGAACAAGTGCAAATCTTGGAATGAGCGTTCTTTTATCACTTGTCAATTAGCAAGACATCTCCAGTGGCTATTCTCATAGGAAAATAAGGTGATCAATTACGGCTTTAATTCAAAATGGCTGCGGGTGAGCAACGTAAAGTGAAGCAACCACACCTATCCCTCAATGGACCTTCCATTGATAGTGGCTGTTTGGCACCGTGTGTGTGCGTGTGGGGGGATTTCGCATAATGAGAAGTGTCTCGTTCCAGTGATGCATCATGCGTCCCGTCAGTAGTCACATGGTTTCAGGTGTGTGTTTACAGGATTGAAATGTAATTTTATAGCCAGTGTTTAGTTTGTGTTTTCAGTGGTGTAGGGTATCGAGTGTGAGGAGAGAGGTGCTGAGTTTCAGTGCTGTCTCGTGTTTGTCTACGTGAGCGGGGACGCAGGTTCTTCACTGGCAGAATCAGAGACTTTTCCCCAGAGTAAAGACTCTTCCTAGCTTACACCGAGGACTCTGAGGTCCTGTACTTGGCATTTCTGTCGTATGTTTTGGTTCAAATAACTTCAAATGCTGATTTATAAACAAATTGATATCATTGCGTCTAGAATAAGGTGATTAACGAAATACAAACTGTTTTCTTTGTTTTAGCTAAATGTATTAAACAATGTCATTCATCAGTGTTCAATAACAAGTGGTGCCTGCACAGTCTGTCTCAACTCAAGAAGTATCTGACTCAACACTTTAAACCATGGACACAAATGGTTGGTAATGTTTTAAAAATCCTAACATTTTAGAAAAGGCTTTTTAAAAAAAGAAGCATTTAGATGTTTCTGTGGGTTAATGCGTGTTAACCAACTGAATACATTTTCCATAAAAAAATGTGGTGCATAGGGGAGTCCACAGATTGGACCGTCTTTACTGATATGATAATTTAATCTTTAACTTACCCCCGAGGACTACCAGAGTCTACAACCAGAGCAAAAGAGTTGTTAACCTTTTGTTTACATTGATCGAATGCATACTTGCTGGAGTAACAGCAAACAAGAACTGCAGCACCACCGATCATTAGTGTCGGTTTTGTTTGTGCTTGTGTTTTCAGTAGGGTTAGAAAACCCTGACCATTGAGTGACCCAACCTTTTTTTGCCCTTTCAAAGA